ACGAACGTGCTCTCATTATGGTTTTTTTTTATGGCAAGACGTGTTAACGAGTGTATCTTGGTCATATTGGAACGACAGTTTTGACCCGTTATAGCGTGAAAATACTCATAACGAAACTCTTTTTTGAAATAACGATACTTGTGTTTTTTTTAAACAAAATGCATAGATAATGTAAAATCGTTGTATATTCGTTATTAAAAATGACTACAATTGTACCTATCACGAGAGTAATATCTTTTTAATGGCTTATATAACGAAGGTACAATTGTTATAGTTATATTTGATCGAAAAATAACCATAAAGAATGCACATTCGACGCTCGAACACCTTCAAACTATCGTTTCAATGACATGTAACATGAATGTACAATCGTTATCAAGGTATTCGATAAAAAAAACCATAAAGCAAAGCGCGTTTGTTACGAAAAACAACCTTAACGAATGTACATTCGTTATAACGAATGTACATTTGTTATGGTTATTTTTCGACCAAATCCACCTTAAACGACCGTGCATTCGTCATGTAATGCATTATAAAGATATTAAACTCGTTATAGGTCTAATTTTATTCATTTTTCATGGAAAATAATGAATGTCCAAAGATTTTACATGATCTTTCCATTTTTCAAAGAAAAAAAACCAAGTATTGTTATTTCAAAAAAAGAGTTCCGTTATGAGTGTTTTGATGCTCTAACACCTTCAAACTATCGTTCCAACGACATGTAACATGAATATACAATCGTTATCAAATAATTCGATCAAAAAAACAATAAAGAAAGCATGTTTGTTGATAAAAAAACAAAACGAATGTACATTCGTTATGGTTGTTTTGGACCACATCCACCTTAAATGATCGTGCATTCGTCATATTAGCCATTATAGAGATAATAAACTCGTTATAGGTCTAATATTAGTCATTTTTAAGTTAAAATAATGGATAAACAAAGATTTTACATCATTTATTCATTTTTCAAAAAAAAAAAAACAAGTGTGGTTATTTCAAAAAAAGAGTTTCGTGATGAGTGTTTCGACGCTCTAACAACTTCAAACTATAGTTCCAATGACATGTAACAAGAATATACAATCGTTATCAAGGAATTCGATCAAAAAAACCATAAAGAACACGTCATAAAGATGTTACACTCATTATGGGTCTCATTTTATTCATTTTTTCATGTAAAATAACGAATTTACAAGGATTCTACATCATCTTTCATTTTTCAAAAACAAAAATAAATAACAAGTGTTGTTATTTAAAAAAAAAAAGTGTTTCGTTGTGAGTGTTTCGACGCTCTAACAACTTCAAACTATAGTTCCAATGACATGTAACATGAATATACAATCGTTATCAAGGAATTCGATCAAAAAAACCATAAAGAACACGTCATAAAGATGTTACACTCATTATGGGTCTCATTTTATTCATTTTTTCATGTAAAATAACGAATTTACAAGGATTCTACATCATCTTTCATTTTTCAAAAACAAAAATAAATAACAAGTGTTGTTATTTAAAAAAAAAAAGAGTTTCGTTGTGAGTGTTTCGACGCTCTAACAACTTCAAACTATCGTTCCAATGACACGTAACATCAACATACAAGCGTTATCAAGTAACTCAAAAAAAAAAAA